TTGCGGATACCTTACCTTAACATTGGAATTAGACGTGGTGACTGAAAAGTTTAAATGAGAATTTTCTCAAGATCAAATCTTTAATTCTTTTAAGTGGAGATTTGTCTGACAACTGAAACTCTTTTATTCCAGAGACTAGACAGAATATTATACTAAGGGGTTTTAAGGAGAAACCTCTCAACAATAACTCCTATTAAGGACTTCAAAGTTCTATACTAGCTTAGCTCAAAAGGTTCGTGTCTAATTTCGACTTTTAGGAGTTATTGCCTTTTGGTCCTGATTTTATAACTAATAGATCTTCAAATATTAATTGTATACCATATTTGGAGAGACAGCAAGCTCCTTTAACCTCTTTTGGGTGACAAAGGTGACACTTGACTAAGTAATGATTGTCAAGTCTGAAAACAAAGTACGGGAATTGTAGAAGATGATTAGTGTGTCCCTTCTGAGTCTTCTATTTGTGGTTATTTCTGTTATGGATTTTCCTTTATTCTGATTATTCATGAAAAAAGAGAATAGTTCAGAGCCTACTGAACCCAAATACTTTTCAGCTCTAGAATGGGTTGTGTTATGCTGTCAAAATTGGATAGCGCAGAAATAGTAGGTTTTATTTAGCACTAAGCCTGAGGGACGCGAGTTCAAATCCCCATCACCGAACATGCTCGCCCTTTCAACCATAGAAGCGTTATAATGTGACAGTCAATCCCATTATTCGTTAGTAACAGAGTAGCCAAAGAATTGGCGGTGGATTGTGTTGACTAGCTGCCATTCCTGTAGTCTATCCCTGCTAAATTAGAGATGGCATTGGGCTATTTGCTGCATCCACCACGAAACCGGAATCAAACCCCAGATTTTAGCGGCGGCCTGTATAGTCATAAATATTATTTTCTTATTTCTCAAAACCCACATTTTTGGTATTTCATGCTTTCAATTGAAAACAATATGGAAGACATCACTGAGGTCCTATTTTAAACTTTGAAAAAGTTTGTTCTTTGTTAGGTTGTAACCAATTTCCCTCAATATTATGGGGAAATAATCAATACCCTCATTTAGGGGAATTTGATTTCAGTTGAACATATTATTGTCAAAAGAAAAACAGATGCTAATTTTAAACATACACAAAAATTCGTTTTGTCTGATAGGTTCTTTACCTTGAAAGATATTTTGTCCTGAATTAGGCCCATAACCACCCTAAGGACGGCGTGGACAACTCCAGATGCAGATCCCGTTGTGGCTAGAAATGTGTCGTCATCTATGAATGTTTGCCCATACGTCTAAAGATAAAATAATATGATTTGTTAGATTAATGATATTTGCTAAGCTTCTCATAACCCTCTTCGTACATATTTCAGATATTTTCTATACATTAGCTAATAAGCACTCATCGTTGTCGTGAAACTGTTTTAATTCTTTTCACGCTTTAGTTAGAACTAACTTTAGTACTATAGCTCTAAAAGGCAGACGTACTTCACGTTGTACAGATGTACCTGATTAGCCGAAACGCTCAAATCATTGTTTCTCAATCAGCTAAAACTTATGAATCTCTATTAACACAAAAAGTTTTGATTTGATGGCAACATATTTTGAATCATGAAAATAAAACTGTATTAAATTTTAGGAACTCTTTCATCCTGGTTTAAAATAATTTAAATATTTAGCATTTCCGGTTTCATTAAATACATTATTTAATCATTTACCACTTTTAGCCTCATCATATAAATAATTTAAATATTTACCACTTCCGTGTTCGCTATATAAATAATTAAATACTTATTCTTATAGCTTCATGATATAAACAATTTAAATATAGATATATCGACATTGCGAAATCAAGCTTGACCAACAAAGAGGCAGAAAAGAACAGTCGAGGCAGCCAAACGACGGTAAATTCCTTCTTAGAATATTTATTGGTAAAAATCAGTTAGATTAACAACTTCTATTATATAGAAAAGCCAGCACGTTTTAGTAACACTACGTTCCAACAATGGCTTTTATGCCATGTTGTTTAGCAACAGAAGTATAACCTAATATTGTTATTAGTCTATGTCTTGAAAGTATAAAATAAAGTGCATAGGAAAAATATTTGTTGATTTCTTAATTTAAAGTCTCCGTTAATTAAAGAGTTTTTTTTTTTTTTACCAAAAACGTTGGTGATATAATAGAAAATATGTTAATTCAGAAACGATTTAAGTTCAAAATTGAATCGTTATTTTTACTTTCATGATAAATTTTATGTATTTGGCTCAAGGATAGGTGATCCCACACTATGCCTTTACTTTAGGCTTATTATACCAACACTCACTACACTTATAATGTTTCACGGCACACTCCCCCTTACGGATCCCTTGCACCCCCGTAACTAAAATCGTAATGAGCAGACAGTAATCGAACTATTCTATCTGGATAAATGCATTTTGGCTTTTATGATTCCTCCTATTTAGAGAAATTAAGAGAAACCAAGCGTGACGGGACAAACACTGGCTTTTATATAGATTAGATATTACTTAATATTTTATAAATACAGTTTTTCTAATTATTAAGGGAAGTATGCTATTTTAAAGACATTTTACTTTGTTTTTTAATCGTAAAACTATAAGAGCTGATACTTCAGTATATTATACATTCATGATCAACTGTGATAATTTCGTATTTCCTTAAAAAGTAAAAAAGAAAATAGGTTTAAGTAAAATAATACAAACGTTACTTTATAAAAAGAAGTCACAAACATTGTTGAATGCAACGAGCTAATGAATGTTATTATCAAGAGATAAAATTCTTTCATCTTTAAAGCTTCTTTTGGTGTCACAGAAGTTTCTCTGGCAAGGGATGTCTGTGTTTCTTCTACTTTCATATTCGGTGAACTTCTTTCTGATGTCACAGAAGAGTCTTCTTGAAACACTAAGATAGAAACCTTGTCTTCAGGATTCGATCCTGATATTACTGATGTTGAACAGTCCTTAGCTTTTATCTGAACTACACTGATTGGTCTGTCAGATGCATTTTCTATCTGTTTTAAAAAACATTGTCTTTTAATTTCAACAATAACCTCTGTTGAGTTTTATGTTGCACATGAGATTCCTCTAAAAGTTTTAGTGCCTATCTTAGTACTCTAGAAATACTGAATGGTAATAAATTTCATTATTTTGGGAACCACTGTTTCTTACAGCCTGAAATGCTGCAGTTTTCTGTAACTTCATCTTCAATACACTATTTTTAATTTCAAATACCATGGAACACAAGCTTCTGAATTATGTTTGTGGTCACACGAGGTTTGAAATTAATGTTCTTAATTAACTGATACATTTTAATGCATCTGTCCTGTTAACTAGTTTTGAACTAGAAATAGTTTAACTTAATGTATTGGTGATTAGTTATTATACGATATCCGTAGCTCTTTTATTCGTTTCGGGAATTCAATGGTATACTGGTAGTCGTGTCTTCTATAAAGATGTTATATTAGTTACTGACTGAAGAATACAAGTTTACTCAACAACATAAGAGAATAAAACATCATCAGCCAGAAAAGCAGGACTGGAGACTATAAGTTTACTCAACAACATGAACAACATGAGAGATTTGACATCGTCATCCAGCAAAGGAAGACTACAAATTTACTCAACAACATGAGCAACATTGGAGGATTAGACATCATCATCCAGGTAAGAAATAATCATTCAGGAAGGGGAGACTACACATCTACACAACAACTTGACAGAACTAGACATCCTCATCCAGGAAAGGAAGACTACAAATCTATCGACAACTTGACAGAACTAGACATCCTTATCCAGGAAAGGAAGACTACAAATCTATCGAAAACATGACAGAACTAGACATCCACTTCCAGGAAAGGAAGAATACAAATCTACTCAACAACTTGACATAACTAGACATCCTCTTCCAGGAAAGGAAGACTACAAATCTATCGACAACTTGACAGAACTAGACATCCACTTCCAGGAAAGGAAGAATACAAATCTACTCAACAGCTTGACAGAACTAGACATCCACTTCCAGGAAAGGAAGACTACAAATATACTCAACAACTGGACAGAACTAGACATCCACTTCCAGGAAAGGAAGACTACAAATCTACTCAACAACTTGACAGAACTAGACATCCTCTTCCAGGAAAGGAAGACTACAAATCTACTCAACAACTTGACAGAACTAGACATCCTCTTCCAGAAAGGAAGACTACAAATCTATTCAACAACTTGACAGAACTAGACATCCTCTTCCAGGAAAGGAAGGCCACTTTTTAAAAAAGAAAACGAGAGTAGACACAGCAAAAAGAGTGATAGATCTGTAGCCACTAATGTTTAGCTTGTGGCTTGGAAAGCATGAAATAAATGTAAACTACACTGTTGAAGAGGGAAAGGTTGGAGTGAAATAGGTCATCGAGGGCTTTCTGTGTACTGGAATAAAAAGCCTCCACAGCCCACCTTGTACAGCAAACGTAGATGTTTGGGTACTAGATAATATAAGCTGTACATATAGAACTTTATCTACTCTCTACACACAGATTTCAAAAGTCTAAAACTAATCTCAGATACCATCAAATTGCCCAGTTTTCCGTGAAAATTGTAATAAATGTTTGAAGGTGCATTCTATCAGAACCTTTAGTATGACTTTGCCACTCATTTCACTTTTCCTATTAATGTAGCATCTCTCTCTTTATATATCTCTGGCTATGACCCTGAAGAATAAATAATAGTTCTGCTTGAAAATAAACGTAAGTACTTTATTTGCTGAAGATAATTCATGTTAATGAGTATTTGATAAGTTTGACACTACAATACATAGGACAAAAGTAAATCTTGGAATGTCCAAATCATTGAAAGGTGAGACATCTAAAGGTATTTGAAAGAAATGAATTATGGGACAATTCAAGTATCTTGATTTAGTTATCATTGTACGTTAACAACATTAACAACTCTTTTTCTGTAGCTCATAAGGAACTACCTCCTCTGGGATACAGAGAAGAGAAGATTTGGTAGTTATTCTCCTGGATAGGGGAACTAAGGAGTTTAAGGGAATAACCTCAATGTAAATTCTCCTTGAAGCCTTGATAGCAAAAGAAGTTCACTTTTCTTCGTTTTAAATATATGAACAAATACTTCCATAATTAAATTTTTAATAGATTAGCAAAACCACCAAGATACTCTAAGCATTTCTATATAAAATGTTTTTTTATATGACTATAAAAAGCTGTTGGAGTTGGGTCTTTGGCTCAGCACCTCTTCTAGGTTTCTATGAGCGCTATGCTTCAATACCTATTAGCCCCACCTATTATAAAATGCCCAACAAGGGAAGGTCACAGTGACGCCAGGGTATGGCAGGCAGTACATGTACACACACACACATCATGAAGAGAAATCCACATCAAGGAAATTTTCTCAATACATCAGCATTGGAAAACATGAGTAATTATTAAGATCTTCATTGTATATTAGCAGTAGAGTAACATTATATAAGCTATATTTGGGCAGAGCTGTTTTACCATAGGTATCTCTGATGGAGGTTTCTTGTACAGAAGTAGTCCAATAAGTAAAATGCCACCTTGTGCAGCTCCCATTATGAGAAACAGTGTAGGGACACGATCCAAAATTCCAGAGTCGTAAAAATACCTGAAAATAATGTATAACATTTTGTTAAATTATCACTTTAGTTAACTTATATGCCATAAAATAAAACGAAGATAAACACTTATGTATAATGTTGTCAAACACTACTACATAAATAATTAAAGTAATTACATCGTCTTTTTTGTTTATGTTTAACTAACCGTAAATTTTGTATAAACCAAAAACAGTTATTGTAACGCTTCTGGAGACTTGGTGGCGCAAAGCCATATAAGTTATCTTTGCCAAACATAACCTGTAAGAACCCTTGTGTGCATAAAATAACTAATGAAAAATTAGGGAGAAATTGTAATAAATATGAATAAAATGACATAAGAAATAGTTATTTTAATTCATTAAAGTTTTGATGTTGAGTTTGACGTTATCATGGTTGGGTTTATTAAGTATCTGCAGTTAGATTTGTTAATGTGTCCATGGTTGGATTTATACAGTCTTGGCCAAAATGGATGCATATTTTGTAATAAATAAGATCATTGTGATTAAGATGGGATACACATACACTTAGTGCTGTCAAACTGGGAAATACATGTTATATTAAACATCTACATATGTAATTTGTATAATGAGACAGGTTATATGGAATCATGAACGATTTATTAGAACAGCAAACAATTTTATCAGACACCTGTAGAAAGATGTGTAATTCATCATTTCACCTATCACAACAAAACCTTACCAAAACATATATTATGACAAATATAACATCAACTTATTATAAATAGCGTCTGCAACCTTATATTAGTTCATGTTAAATATTCAGTACTTGGTTGGTACTCTATGCATTCTAATACCTTCCACAAGGCGAGTTTGCATGCTCTCGATGAGGTTATTGATGTAATCCACCGTGATTTTATCCAAACTTGTCACTAGAAGGCACTGAAACTCAGCTACAGTAGCTGGTTTAGGGTCGTGGTCAGCAATTTTCCAGCGCAGTTCTACCCAACAGTTCTCAATGGGATTACAATTTGAAGACTTTACTGGCCATGGCAATCTTGTAACGTCCTCATGGTCGAGATTATCCTGTACAATATGCACATTATTGGCAGTTCCAATATCATCGTGGAACATATATTTATTGCCAAACCTTGCCATAGCATACGGCAGAAATATCGTCTCTATGTGGTGCCTGTAGGATACGCCATTGACGTTTCCCTGGAAGATACGAAGAGCAATTTCCCACCATGATGAATAGCTGCCCCCTGTTGGAAAGAAAGTCTTTCCTCATCTGTTCTCGAGGCAAACGACAAACACGAATCCTACCATCAGCTTTAACGAACCAGAAACAGGATCAGCATCTTAACTATAAGTTGGCATGCTGTCTTACCCAAATGACACGGTGATAGCATTGAATTATTTTTAATATCGGTTTGCAGATAGCCCCTCTTGCAAAATAACCTTTTTTGGTCAGTCTACTATTCACTCTTCTTCTAGATATCCTGGAATGAATGTTTTAATGATGTTCCTGTCGTAAGGTGTTGTGGACACAGCCATCTTGGGCAGTAGTTTTCCGGCGTCTACCAGTAGACGTTCCTGGAATAACGTTTCCTGTAGTCCGATGATGTTTCAGGATTCTAGATACAGTACACTGGAGTTACCCTACTGTTCTGGCAATGTCCGTTTCTCTTCATACGATTTCTGGACAGTCGAACAACTTGACACCCTATAACTTCTGGCACATGACAAGACATGATTCTACACCAAGTACAGACATTGCCTGAACAAATCATTGGTCTTTTTCGAAAAATGTTATACAAGAAACACACCCTTTTATACAAAACAGGTGTGAGTATGTGTTTTGATGAACAAATGATCAAAACAACTTATACAGACTAGAATAGCAACTTGTACGCGTTTGTCCGATCTTACACAACATTTTCTGTTACTACTCGGACATCTACTCAATAACTATTTCAAGCAGATAGACAGTAACATCAATATAGAACAGCATGCAAACATTTTGACCAAGACTGTAATTTATCGATATTCGATTTATTAATGCATTCAAGGCCGAGTGTAATATCCCAGTTTCTTTGTTGCGAATTTTTTCTATGGATAAAATATGTTCCAAATAGCAAACTAAACTTACCCATCAGCGTCTGGTACTAGGTTATTAGGGTTCATAAAGTATGTATGTAAGTCATTCATTAGAACTGATGTAAAGGAAGATCCTAAAGATACTATTCCTGCCAGAAGTACCCCTCTTACTTAAAAAGTAAATCAAACTTACCCATTAGCGTCTGGTTGAAGGTTATTAGGGTTCATAAAGTATGTATGTAAGTTATTCATTAGAACTGGAGTTAAGGCAGCCCCTGAAGATACTATTCCTGCCAGAAGACCCCTGTTTTTGGGAAACCACTGCAAACGACAAACATTTGATTCTTAATTTTAAGTTTTCTTCTACAAGCTTTATAAAAAATAGTGTTTATTATCAACAACCAACTCTATTCAAACATCAACAAATAGAGACATTAGTTGGAACTCACTTCTGAACTCTCTTTGAAAACTATAAGTCATTCTTCTTATTCTGGGATATTTTTAGATTTTCTTTTTGATATTTTCACTTCTATTTTAATACAAGATATGAAAAATGTATCACACTCTTCTTTTGGAAAGGAGATTGATCAGCACTTACCATTGTATTGACTCTTTGTATCTTTGGTTGTTTAGCAAAAGCTACACAATGGGGAATCTGTGATTTGCCCAACACGGACACTCTTTATTTGGAAAGTAGATTGACCAGCACTTACCATTGTATTGACTCTTTGTATTTTTGGTTACTTAGCAAAAGCTACACAATGGGGAATCTGTGATTTGCCCAACACGGATATCGAAACCTGCATTTTAGCATTATAAGCCTCCTCACTTACTACTGAGCTACTGAAGCCTATAATCGTATTCAATACTAAAATAATATGCCTAGTAACATCTCATGGACAGAAACTATTAAAGTTACAAAATACATGATTTTTTTAAAATAAAAATCTAAAGTATCGTTTAGAAAAGCATTACAGGTTCAGAATAAATAAAGTTCTGAAATATAATGATTTTTTAGTAGTTAAACGTTTACTGCATTAAATAACTACAGATTTCACCATGAGACATCATACAGTTAGTTAGTTAGACGTCAGAATTTAAACATCTACAAGTTTCTATAACTGACCTAACTCTAAGTTTGTATCAAGAACCACTAAGTAGTCTATTAAAAGGGCAACAGATAGGTAAACAACTATTTATAAACATAAGGAAGAGTTTTATTGATGGGGAAACGTGTTTCGACAGAACATTGAAGAAGACAAACCAATGTTTTGTCGAAACAT